TTCATGTATTTTAAATATACAAATAACTCTTAAACTCAACAATAAAGTAATATACAACCTAATAAAATTAGGGAAACAACTTGAAAGGTAGATATGCAGATGACAAGTAAAAGTATGTTAAACATCAAATGATATAATTTGCATCTTAAAAAGAAATAAAATGATTTATCATGCCTATTAAACTAAATTACTGACAACAGTAAATGCTAATAATGATGTGGAAAAACAGGAACACTAATTTGTTTCTGCAAAGACTAATATTGTGAAGCCATTTGGAATGCATTTTGGTAGTTTTTTTTTTTTTACAAAACTATGTATATTCTTACTATATGATTCAGCCTGTAGTAATCACATAGGATTCTCACCCCTCCAGTTTAAAACTTATGCCCACAGAAAAACCTGATAATGAATAAAAAAACCTTTGTTCATAATTTCCAAAACTTGTAAGCAATGAATATGTTTTTCAACAGGTGAATGATTTCATAAGTGCTAGATATATACAATAAGGCAATGCACAGTGCTTCCAGAAACTGAGCTATCAAACTATGAAAAGAAATGGAGGAATGTTAAATAGATATTATTGAGTGAAAGGAGCCCATCTAAAAAGTGACCTACTGTAGGATTCCAATTGTATGACATTCTGCAAAGGACAAAACTATGGAGATAAAAAGACTAGTGGCTGCAAGGTGCTAGGAGAGAGGGAAAGACAAATACACAGAACACAGACAATTATTAAGACAGTGAAACTATTCTCTATTAACTTACATTGGCAGGTTCATGCCATTAAACATGTGTCAAAATCCATAGAATATACAACACTGAGAGTGAACCCTAAATAAATTGTGGGTACGGAGTGATGGTGTGTCAAGGTAGGGTCATTAGTTACAATACAGCACTGTGGGACAGGGCATTGTAATTAAGAGGTGGGGGGGGCTTATTTCAGGACTCTCTGTACTTTCTGCTCTACTTGCTGTGTGCATATTGTTGCTTCAAAAAATTCTATTAGATAATCTTTATTTTAAGATGTAAAAAAAACCAAGATGTAAGAACTCTGGTGTATTGAAAAAATACTTTCTGTACCAATATTTAAAAAATGTACCAAAACAACAAATACATGTATATAATTAGACAAGACATCTATTAGAAAAAATATTTGAGAAAGACGCATTTCATTAGCATATATAGATATATGTGTGTGTCTGTTTAGATATATATGTAGGTATGTAAATTTATATATATTCACTTATGTCTTAAAGAAAAGAGTAAAATAAAGCATTTAAAATAAGTGATTTGGGGCTGGGGATTTAGCTCAGTGGTTCCACTGTCTGCCTCGCAAGCGCAAGATCCCAAGTTCAATTCCCATTACCAAAAAGAAACAAACAAATAAATAAATAAAATAAATAAAATAAGTGATTTGCATCTTCATGGGTATCTAAGGTGAAAGAGCAGGAACTTGATAACCTCTGTCATCTGAAAGAGCTTAGAACATCTAGAACACGATCTGGGAAACAGCATTGGAGACAAGAGCAGCAAAGGTGAACCAACATTTGGCTCATTTCCTGCCTGGGGAAAGTTTCCAGCCAGAGAGGCAGCACAGGACCCCAGGTGGACTTCAAGGCCTCTGAAGTGAGGAGATGCCAACTAAAACATTCTTCTTTCATACAGAACTTCATCTGCCCTCCACTCTGTCATTTGCTAAATATTTCTTTTTTATCAGAGGGCTTGACTTTTATAGATTTAATATGAATACACATTGAGTTAGGGATCAGCAACTGCTGCAAAATTTAGATTTTTACAAATACTAAGATTGGAAACTATTTAAAAGTAATTTTTATCAGACATATCCACTTTTTTTAGTTTCACTGTGAAAATACATAGATTTAGGGATCTCAAAGTCTGATACAATGTTCAGCAGAGCTCTGATTTGATAAGATGGGAAATTAGTTAAAAAAATTAGCAGAAATTAAAGGCCAAGAATATATTTTAATTTTATATTTTAATTTATTTCATCCACAACATTATTAGCTGGTATTGCCTGAAATAAGTTATTATAATTAAGATTATTTTGTTGAAAATACATAGAAAATACATGGCTAGTCATGTTGAAGTTTGTGAGTTAAATAATTAAAATTTCAATGTTGGGCAAAACAAACCCAATAGGGTGAATCAGTACACCAGACGTTCCTGCCATCTAGTGGTATAGCACCTTAACTTTAAGTATTTTAAAATTTCGGTATTAACAATTTGAAAACTATTTTTAATGCAGAAAATGAAAATTTGTCCTATAAAACTGTTTCAATTGCACAGAATAATATATATATATATAAATTCATTCACCTATATCATATATGCATGTGAGCATTTTTACCTGACCTTGTAATAAAAGACATTGATTCTTTATTCAGTGCTTTCAATTTTTTTATTTAATCCTCTAACACCATTTAAAATTTTGTTCTAATAACACTTGATCATTTTTAAATTGTATTTTTTTGGTACCAGGAATCGAATTCAGGACCTTGTACTTGCCAGGCAGGCATGGCACCACTGAGCTAAATCCCCAGGCCCAATTTTTTAAATATGCTTTATGACTTTATTTTCCATTTCATTTTCTTGTCTTCTTAATTTCTTTTAACTTCTTTTACAATGTTATTTTTCCTCACGTGATGTATACTTGTTATCTAATTGTTCTAATTTTTTTCCAGCAAATCACCTACACAAGTATGCTCTATATAGCTCTTCCAGTATATTGTAAAATTTTTATAGGATTTTTTTTTTCTTTTTTTTGGTACCGGGGATTGAACTTGGGTCCTTGCAATAGGATCTTATTTTTGAAGAAGCTTTAACTTCATTCATTGTTTTCATAAAAGTGCACTTGCAAAGAGGCTAGGAAAACTGTGTAGTGGCTCTAAGTGGCCTGGGTTTCTAAAATCTGCTTCAGAAGAGACCCAGGACTTTAGGAACCAAATAATATTTCTCAATTGGTGAATCAAAGGGTCTCAAATGAAAAATGAATGAGAAAGTTCCTCTAGAGAATAGAACCAGTCTACCCCAGCAATTTCTCCCACTGCCGGGACAGGGAGTTCATGAAGTTCTGATTAAATGTGATTTCTTTCACAATTCTAATGAAACGATGGGGTTTGTTACTTCACTGTTTTTTATCATGGTTTCACTCACTTTTCCATTGGTGTATATTGGGTGTATATGGAGTAGGGGAATAGGGAGGCTGAGAAACATGAGTGTATTTTTACTTTGCTGGACTGTTTAGCTCTCCTATAGTTTTACATAGTAATGTTAGATATATCACCAGGATGTACCTAAATATGAATAAGATGCAATAACTGGACAAGTTATCTGTTTGCACCTTTTGGAGAAGGGATATTTTCTTGTAAGAAGAGTGCCTGGATACTTGGATGGCCAGAGTGACAGTTTGTGCAGTGGCTGTACATGATCTGGGTTTTCAACATCTGCTTCAGAACTTGCCATGGACTTAGGAAGAAGAACAGAATATCGGCTCTCCCAGAGATGAAAATCTAGCCATGCCAGTGTCACAAACAGCAGGACCAAGATCATCGGTGATGTTATAACATCAGTAAAATTCTCCCTATATGTTACAACAGTAAAATCTTCCCAGGACATTATTTCCCTCCTACTTGCTTTTAGAAATAGATTGTATTGATTTTTAGTTGGAACAAGATATCCAGCTAGAGTTACTATTCTCAAACCTTTCTTCTGGAGTAGACAGCATCTCACAACTAATCACCAATACAGTAAGTGAATGTAATTTTTAAAGTCTTGAGGTCATGTATTTAATATAAAACTAATTGCTTTTCATTAGCTCTCTACCTCAGGTTGGCAATCCAGCAGCAAAATCTCATTTGGACAAAGGATGATCACCTTATTTAACAGTAGTAGATTTGTGTTACTGCTTTGTTTTTCTATAGGATCTCATGGAGAAAAGCCTACATTTTTGCCCCCAACTTTTATGTAAGAGAGTAAAAACAAAAAGGTTGTTTCAACTACAGGAGTTTTGCTAGTCGTTTTTTAAATTTGTTTTTACAATTATATCTTAACTCTTACTTATTCCTCAAGATTATTATGGCACTTTAATATCTGGGATTGTGATACCTCATGATTTGCTATTGTTACTCAAAACTGCTTTTGCTACTCTAGGTCTTTTCTGGTTCCATATGATTTTTTGTTTCCTCTAGATCTATGAGGAATGCTGTTGGTATTTTGACTGGGATTGCTTAAAATCGAGATATCAGTTTTGGGAGTATAGCCATTTTGACTGTATTAGTTCTGCCTACGCAGGAACAAGGCTTTTCATTTTCTGATGTCCTTATCCATCTCCTTTTTCAGTGATATGATTTTCATTATAGAGGTCTTTCACTTCTTTTGTTAGGTTAATCCTAGATATTTAATTTTTCTTGGTGCTATTGTGAATGGTATTGTTTTCCTAATTTATTTCTCATGGAGTTTTTAGTGTGCAGAAACACTTGATTTTTGTGTGTTGATTTTGCATCCTGCTACCTTGCTGAGTTTGATGATTAATTCTAGAAGTCTTTGGGTCTTGGAAATAAAAAAACTCCAAAAGACAGAAAAGAAATAAAAAGTAAAGGTCTATAATCTAAAGATGCACCTTGATATCTTAGAAAAACACATGGCAAAACAGTAGGAATGAAGAAATTGAGGAAGAAAGAGCACAGAAATTGAGGAAGTGAAATATTTCAAACAATAACACTATACACAGGTTAGCCAATGCAATTTAAAGTATACCTTTTATTTTGTATTTTATTCTATTTTTCCCCATTTTCACCTATCACTCTAACATATTTTACATAAATATTTTTATAAAATTTGTTACATAAATTTTGAATAAATTTACTATTTTAATTTTTAAAACATTATTTAAAATACACAAAGAATACATGCAAATCTGCCAAAATTAAATTCCTATGTTATCAAAATCACATATGAGTAATTTATTTAGGACCTTTGCATCGTTTTCCACAGATTGTTTATTGGCAATTAGTTGAGATACACATTAAAGAGAACCAAATCATGGCATGAGAATTAAGAAATTTAAGGTTGAAAAAAGAAATTTAATGTTAATGCAACAGGATTACTAAGACAGTAAAAACATAAAATATATTATTTTAAAAAAAACACCATCATTTTAAATTAGTGCTAGAAAAGGATTGATGTTTTGCTCAGATTAGGTTTTTATTTTCCCTAGACTCCAAATTATGGAAACAGTCACATGGAACAAGAAAAATGCTCTAAAAATTGTATTTTTAAAAGGGTATTTACAAAGGGAACAACAAAAATCTTAATGAAAGAGACTGGACTATATATAGATTACTGGTTAAGATGGTATGTGCCATATTTCTCCAAAGTGACTATTATTTTTTCTTCCCATGCTCTAGTTTTGAAAGTGAGTCACTAAATTCAGTGCAGATTCAAAAGCTGAGGTGGGAGGAGTGCTGAGCTTCAATTCTTGAGGGAAAAGTATGTATATATATTATTTTGAATTCTTTCTTAAGGAAGCTTTAAGGGAAGGTGTGATCATACTGTACTGTGGAATTTATGCAGGTGAATAACCAAAAGTCTTCACTGACTTTTACATGATGAAAGTCAGGGTTAATTTGGGAATAACAGTTGCAAGTTAATTGCAAGGTTGAAATCCAGATGAGTGGGAGGAAAGTGTGTGGCAAAGAGGAATTAAAGACAGCACATACGGGCACTTCATTGGAGATGCTTATCTAGGTGGAGCTACAAAAAAAAGTACAGCCCGAGATCCATGTGACAATGTGACAATAAACTGTTTTTATTTTAGTAACATTGTGTTGTGGTAACATCATTCTCAATTTTAGCCCAATGTTTTAGAGGCTTTAATCATTGGAAAATGAAGCTTTTAGAATCATCATCTTTATTAAATTCATTTAATTTAAATCATAAAAGTATCATAACTCAAAGTTGTTATGACAGATTTTTTTTTTTACTTTTTAATTCTTTTCATAAAAGTGATTTCTGTAAAACAAGAAGCAGATCCAGAAAAAAGATTCTTTATTATTTGGAGTCAAATATGTAACCACTATTCTTATAATTTCCCTAGTAGTACAGGTCAAATCTAAGTAGGTGATGTGGCCCTTCTTCACACAGCCCCGCTCATGTGTACTGGCAGTTAATAAATTTTGCCTTCACAATAGCAGGAGGCCTGGCAATTGTTCTTGACCATTGGATGACTACAGGTTACTTTATTTTTCAAATCTTCACAGTTGGAATATCTATTTTCATAATCACAACCATTGGCTGAAATAAAAATAGAACAGTCACTTCATTATCACTGTTCTCCATAGCAGACCCAGGAACAATAAATTCAGTAAAAATGGGGAGGAGACTGAGCACACAGGTTGATATTACACTGCGATGACAATTTCAAGTCTTGAGGAACATGCAAGTTCCCTTAAACTCACTGTGTGATCTAGTGATTCTTTTTAAACTTGAGGTTTTTGAAATATTTCTAACATACATTGTCTTACTTTCATCTCTAAAAAATTTGAATAAAATTAAGGGAATCTCTCTAGACCTGCACTCAGTAAAATTAGTAGGGATAAGCTGTGTGCTCCTCTCAGTTGAAAATTTATATTAAAATGTTATGTCTTCAGCAGCACCAGTTACATTCTAAGTGACAATGTGTCAAGGGGTTACTCTACAGGACAGTGAAAACACTACTCATTTTCATTATTGCAGAGAGCTTTATTGGATACTGTTCTAGAATCTAGACTCTAATCTTTCTAGGGATTCTCATAAATGATTTATGGGAAGACAAAGATGTAGAAATGTAAAAGGTGGAGACAACTATCAATATGATTATTTGATATTTCTACTTCAGTGTGTCTCAGTGGCCACAAAGTGAACAAATCTCAAACTAAATTTATCATACTATCTACAAAGCTTGATGTTTCTTTGAAATCCAACCTTACAACCCTGGTTTGGTCCTGGGAATTGAACTCAGGGACTTGCACTTGCCAGGCTGGCACTGTATCGCTGAGCTACATCTTGGCCTCCTACAACCCTCTTTTGAAGTCACACAGTATCAGAGAAATGGCACTCCTAATTACTGGATAATTCAAGTCAGGAATAAGGAATCAACAGAAGCTTATATTCTCGAACATTTGTTTTCTGAGATGGGGCTCCGGATGTTGCCCAGGCTGGTCTTGCACTCTATACTCAGATGATTCTGTTCCTTCGTCCTCTCAGTAGCTGGGGCCATAAGTGTGCACCACCATGCCCAGCTCTCTGTCCTTTTTTCAGCACGCAGAAATGCAGTGGTACCTCTGTTCATGAACTCTTTCTTTCCTTGATTCTGATCACAAATCGAGTTTGAGGAGAAATGAATCAAATTCACTGGATAGGTTCAATAATGACCTTATGGGGAAATCTGATTCGGTTCTCTTCCAGTTCGATTTGCAACCAGAATCATGGAGAGAATTGAGTTTATGAATTAAGGTACCAATTATAGTAACAAAACTTTTTTCTTTTGTCTTATGTTTATCTTTCTTTTCATTCTTTTTGGACTAATGTAGTAAAGATATCCAATTTTTTTAAGTCCATGTCTCCTAGCTGGATTTCATATAATTGTTTCTTCCTACTATTGTTACAAAACACAATTCTGACCTGGCTACTTCTATTTAAAATCATTCAATTGGCTATTCAATACTAATAAGAGAGATTCTAAACTCCTTAGGAAAGGCATTCCTCAAAGTTGTGAATTCTTGTCCTTTTCTTCTTTAATGTATAGCTTTGATATTATTTTTATACTGTATTTATTCATTCATGTTAGTACTACAAAATAATGAGGTTGGGTGTGGGAATTGGTATATGCATGTAACATATTTTGATCATTTAAAATCCCATTATCCCCTCACCCTTTCCTCTCCCCTACCTCTAACCCCTTTCCATATCTTCAAAAGTATAATCTAGTTTCCTGTCATCTCACACATCCCTAATTAATTAACTAATTAATTAGGGATCTTATATAAGAGAAAACATTGCCCAGGCTGGTCTTTTTAACTGTTTAACTTACTAGGTCTGATTTATTTTATTTAACTTGATGGTCTCCAGTTCCTTGTACTTTCTTGCAAATGACATGATTTCATTCTTCATGCCTGAATAATAATCTATCATGTATTATATCTAATTTTCTTTATTCATCCAGCCATTTATGGGCATCTCATCTATTGCCACAATGGAGCTATTGTGAACTGCTCTGACATAAACATGAGTATGTATGTATCACAACAGTATGCTGTCTTTTATTCTTTTGGAAACATACCCAAAAGAGGTATAATTGAATCAAATGGTATTATATTTTTAGTGTTTTGATGAGTGTCTATACTGATTTTTATAGTGGTTGTACTAGTTTGCATCTCCAACAACAGTATAGGATGGTTTCTGTTTCCTCATATCCTCACCATATTTCATAGTTTTTTATATTCTTGATGATATCATTAATATTCTGAATTATATTTGTTCAATTCAGTCAAAAAAGCATGCTGCAGTTCAGTCAGGGGAATGCTTTTGAAGAGTCAAAATTGCCATGAATAAGTCAAGTAATTTGTTCATAATGATTTTAATAACATATTCCAATTACGCACAAATACTCTTGCAGTTCTATTCACAACACTGGAAATGAGATAATATATGTTATTTATTTTGCTCACTCTCTTTGATAAAATATTTCTGAGGCTTTTGTGAACTTAGGTATGAATTTGATATTTGGCTTTTAAAATTTTACATAAACTTACTAGCAATCAGAAATGCTTGTGGTTATTAAAGCTGATGATTGTAGGTACACCATGGTGGAGGGGAGTAATTTATTGTGAGAAACTCATTGGTCTATGAAGAATTGAAACATGTGATGTGTCTCTCTGGACTGAGCCATATTTTATAATTTCTAACTCTTACAGTTTTGTTTTCTGTTTTAGAAATGCCAGCTTTGGTATAATAACAATGTTCTTGATTATAGGAAACTTAGCATTTAATTACTATGAATTATTTCCCGAGAATCATTTTTATAGATTTTATTTGTAAAGGGCTCAGTGTCAAAACAGTATAAATGGATTGTGGGTGTTTGTATTACATTTAGTAACAACTTTTCATTACAAATAGTGCATATGTAAGGAAGAGTGTAAAAATTGTACTTAAAAAGGCTATGAAAAGTAGTATTAGTTTTTTCCATGAAGATGTCCTCAAATTTGCTTACATTCAGAAGACTTCCTAACTCTTAAAAAGTGTATCATGTTATTTTATGAACTAGCAGGTTAATCCATCAAACTTACTGCATAGTCTGTCCTCACAGTGATCAGGGCAACTGGCACAATGGGGTCCTTGCTTGTAAGGGGCATATCGTCTTGCCACATAATTACCACTGAAATTTGAAAGGCAAAATACCAAAAATTATTTTAAAATTTTCTGCTCCATATATACTCATCAGCAAATGTGTGTATATGTATATATATTTAAACATTTCAAATAATTATAAGCCTAACATACTCCAAATAATGCTGTTTAAACTTGTATAGTACATCCTTATCATTAGTATATGTTGGTCATTATCATCTGAATATAGAAAGGAATCAAATTCTTGATTGCAACAATGGGACAAAGGCCAAGGCAATGTGGCTATAGTCTCTCACACAGACTGAGAAAAAATAAAACTGTGAAATAGGTGTAAAAGCATTCTAGAAGTTTTTATCTTTGCTTTCTTCTTTTTTTTTCCCCCACTCTGACTCTCACCTCAGAAGCCAGGCCCCAGAAGTACTCATCTTTTCACCAGGAACTTAAATCATCCTCTTAGAGTCTTTTCAATTCCTTCTTCAGAACACTAATAAGACCTAGCTGAAAATTCATTTCAAAGTTCTCACTTTTAAAATTGGATCTCCACATCATCTAGTTTATCTAGACTTAAAGTGAATCATGTAAGAAGCTTCATTTGTTGAGACCCTCTGCATTCAGTGGTAAAAAAAAATTCATGTATGAGAAGGAAATTAAAATCAACAGGTAGATTGTTAAAATAGCTTCATTACATTTGGTATCGTTGACAGTAATCTCTGAAGTGTATACTCACGCAGGACAGTAATGGCAAACCATGTAGTATTTGAAAACTGGGTTCCTAGGACAGTGAGCAATTCCACATCCCACACGGGAAGAGGAGTACCAAACCACCTACAAGCCAACAAGGGAATATATGAGAGTGTAATGGAGGAAAAAGAAAAATACAAAAACAATGTTGCAAGGTACTTTGTTTCCATGGCTTTTTATATGTGGTTAAATTATTGAATGGAATGAACAAAATTAAAAATATTACATTTCTCTGTGCATTCACTCCTTTATACTTTTAAATTATCAGAAAAATACAGACTATTTTTTCCTTACAAAAGACCTGCAGCCTATCGAAAAATAATAGCTCAAATACTCAACAAATACCAAGACTACTATACATCCTCACAAGCTCCTCCCTCACATTCCACTTTGGAATCAGACAACATTTGGACACACTTTCCTTTTAGTTTATTTAAGACCAAGGGTATTTTATTCATTTTTTCTTACCTGAGTATAGTGTCCAATTACTGCATCGGGTGTCTTTGGCCCTACATTGAAGATAAAATTTCTTCTCTCATCATACCACCCTTGGATTGCAGATGACCATGAAAAGGGAGCACTTGACATAAAGAGGTTCTCACCACAGCCTACATCTAAGAGGGAACAGATCATTCATGAGGAAAGTAATAAGGAACACAATGGAACATGCACACATGCACAAACAAGGCAGAGTCCCTGGTCTTTAAACACAGTACCCAGAGCTGCTGCTGTTGGGTAATCCATAAGGAAATTGCCTTAGATCCTTATCAGCTGTAAAATCAACACCAGCCAGTCTTGATCAGTGTATGTAGTATGGCCTCAACATGCAGAGCTGTGAGTAGATAAAGAAATCTTTCTCTAAGGACTCCTAGGATTTCTCTAAGGATCTCCTAGGACTCATTCATGCACACATTAAATTCTCCATATATATCTTAAATGCATCATATGTGCTCAGCTTTTTGTAGGAAACTTACTAACTCCCTCTAATTTCTCTCCTGTTCTAACCCATACTCACTAGAAATTTTCATATATAAAAATTTGAATATTAAAGATTATTGTTTTGTATAATCTATAAAAAAATCTTACAATCATTCTTTAAAATAAGCATGAAACAAGCAATACCAGGAGAGTATTTTTAAAGCTTATGGTTGTCTCCTTAATCAACCAATCAGAACAGCACAGGCCAAAAATCCTGCTCCAAAAATTAGGAAAAAGTATCTTGCATCCCTACAATGTACTAATATTTTTCAAGCTCTGCTAATGATATTTATATTTGGATGTCAATTGTAATGTCTATATGTTGCTTAAAGAGAGAATAAACTATTCTTGGACAGTTTCTTTTAAAAGGAAAGCAAGAAGCTAAGATTTTCATAGTAGACTGGGATTTTAAAGACCAATTTTTATGTCTTCTTCTGAATATAGAACACTCATCTTCATAAATTGTAACAATTATTTTATTATAAATATCAATAACAATGAAGACCTGTCTTCAAAACAGGTCAGTTAATTTCAAACTAGGTTTGAATTATGGGATTTTGAAAATTCAATACATGTTTTATTTCATAGTTCATTTATAGGATATTTTATTACTGTTTTCATATTCTTTGAGGTTACTGTTGTTTAGTATAATGTGCATTGTAGATAACCAGAACACACACAATTTTCTGTCATCAAAAATTTAAAAAGAAATAAAAGTAGGTTAATGTTAATACTAACTATATTTGAGAAAAATCAGGAATAATATTGTTTATAATTTCAAAATTAATTTTCAAAATTTAAACAGGCTACATAATAATATGAAATGGTTATTGGATTAGAAGTCAGAAACTCTAGTGTTATTTTAAATTTTTTATATGTGACCTAAATTACCAATCATTTTTCTGCAGATAGATGGTTTTCTAATCTTTAAAGTAGAGAAAGAGATGATTAATCTGCTTTACTCATGAGCTGGTTGACACATACAAAGGCGATACTCTGTGAGACAGATTTTCAAAACAGAAAACAATAAACACAAGGTAGTGATTCTCAGTTACTGTATCTACATTCAGAGATACCTAATTTGAAAAAGGCAGGCTTAGAAGCAGTATTTATTTATAAAATTTTAATATTTGTTGATTTACGCACTGAGTTTTCGGTCTTCTTTCCTACTGTGACGGTACTGGCACTGGTCTGCCCAGGCTTGGGCCTTCTTTGCAGCTGCCCTACTCCATTCCTAGGAGAGGGAAAGAAAAAAGAGATGTTCACTCAATGGTTGAAAAGTCAAAGACACATAATATATAGTCAGATTGGTAGGCTTGTTGATATCTCTATAAAATTTCTGCAATGGAAAGTTAAAAATTCCATCGTTTCTCTTATATGAGAAATACAAAATATAACTAGTTTTAATAGCAAAATAAAGATAGATGATAAGAAGCAGGGAAGTAAGCTTTGTTGCAATGGGAAGGGATCTAGGGAGAGGGGAAAACTGGATAGAGAAGAGGGGAAGGGGTGCAAAGGACTAAGATTCAGTACCAATTCCCCACCAACAATATATTTATTATGTATCACACACATGATAATAAACAATAAATAAAATAAAGTTTCTGCAAAGGCACTTTTAAATTTTTAAAATCCAAAGTACAGATATATATTTTAGTGTGCCCTTTTCTGCTACCTAAGTAACTGAAAAATCTAAGATAGCTACGGTCTGATTATCATAATGGCACAGCAGGCACAACTAATGACTTGTAGTAATTGTCTTACTCTAAATATTATTATTATTACCAGTTCATTCCTCCATCCAGTAAATTTGGAATACATGTGGTAATTGGTACTGTTAAGTACACTTAACAGCACTGACCTACAGGAAGAGTCCTCCTGGCCCTAGATCAGGAGAGACAAGAGAATGAGCAGAAAAACCCAATGACCTTTCACTGGATGCCTTAGGATATCCTAGTTCTATTGTCATAACTTAAAACAGTCCCATAAACTTGACAGGTTATTTAAGTGTTGTCAAGAAATTTGGCCCTGACCATAAAACAAGTGAAATGCCAAAATCAAGGCAGGACTTCTTAGGTAAAAATTTAGAGATGTCACTTGCCAGCTGCCTGCTCTTACCACAGCTCAAGGTGGCTCAAGTCACTTTCCCTACATTCCAACCTCTTACCATCTTTAGCATGTCACTGGCACTTGGAGAGACTGCTCTCCTGAGTTCATTGTGTTTATTTACAATCTCCTTTTGGACTTCTGGTAGGGTGGTCGACAATGCAGCAAACACTCGTTTCTAAAGAGAAATAAAATCAGGATTTACTTTTAGTATATTTGAAAATTACATACATGCTTGAATAAGTCTTTGATCTCTCAAGAAAACAAGGATCTAATTTTGGGGGTTTTTTTGTTTTGGTACCGGGGATCAAACTTGGGACTTTGCACTTGTAAGGCAGGCAGTGGCACCACTGAGCCAATCCCTGGACCAATCTAATTTTTATAATAGTATTTATTTCAAGCCAATATTGGGTGTTGAGCATTGCTAAAGCTACTAAGGCAAAGCAATGACTTTTAAATAAAAAAGTAGAATGAAGCCTTGACAATGGGCATGTAATCTATGGCAGGATAAATTTATATCTTCTCTTAGACCACAAATGCCAATTTTGGTTTTTAGAGAAGTCTTACCATAGTAATTTTTCTAGATGTACTATATGAATGATAACATCTTATGATGACAAAGGTACATGATGGGAACAACTAAAGACTTCACATTCAATTAGGCTGCAATGAGGGATTGCCATGGTGCAAACACATACTTTACTGTAGATTTTAGGGGGATCATGCTTCTCACTAGGCCTCTGATGTCTAGAAAAAGAATGCTTACTCCAAGTGCATGTGGATTGTCCATAGTCTAGTAAAAGAGTTTTATGTAATAGCACATTTTATGGAATAATTCAAAGAATAGATTTCCATTTTTTAAAAATCTTGAAATTAATTTCAAGGGAAGAAGTCAATTAATTAATGGGCTATTGCTGACTTTAACTTCTTAATAAGACAAAGCTAACTGAGGAGGTTTTAATTCAGATGGTAATATTTGAGCTTATATTTTTTGCATGTGTGGATCTGGAGAGTGGAATGGGGTTATGTGAATTGTTGGCATCAGAGATCAGAGCAATTTGCTGACCTAAATTTACATTAAAATGTCCTGTTTTATAGGGAAGAGAACAATTTTAAAGTATAAGTGTAAACTGGCAAGACCCTTATAGAATTTGTCTTAGACATTGTGATAATTTATCCACACTTCCCACTATACTGAATCCCCCCAAGACTTCAAACACGGTACTCATACATCTGACCACATTATGTTGCCATTATCTAATGTATGTCCATTTCTTCTTCCTGTTTTATATTCCTAAGGACAAGGACCATTAATGAATATCTGGTACCAGGAGACCCAGCAAAGCAACTGACTGCTTATGTAGAAAGGATGAATATATACAGTGTCAATAGTGACTAACCTCTGAATTTTACTATAGTCATAAAATAGCGTATATAGATATTTCCTACTGAGCTCACAAACCCACTTAAAATAGTTTTTTTCAAAACACAGATAAATTGATTTCTGAGAGAAAAGTAATTATTCTCTACTTCTTGTATTTGTTTTTTAGATAAAAATTCTATCTTAGAGTTTATATTGGATAGGTAACATGAATAAATAATCACAATCCTACATAGCAAGACTGCTTGATGGGATGCTATGTAATAGAGAAGGAGGGATTAATTTGAGGTGTTCAAGGTGAAGAAAGACTTCACAAAACATGATTATGAATTTCTCTGGTATTCAATTTTTAATTAATTTATAAATAAAACCATGAGAAGTCCAGAGTGGTAATTGATAAAAAGCAAGGGCCATAAAATACAATCTTTGAGAAAGTAATTGGAAAGGAAGTAAATTATGCAAATGAAACCCTAGTTGAGGAATAAATAGTCTACAGGTTGATAATGTGATATAACACAATGACCGTTTTTCTCTGTGACAAATGATGTTTTAACCAAGTGCTGGAACCTAGCTAGTATATGTCCAGATCTAAAGCAGGGTGAGATAACCAGGAGTAATGCCCTAAGTTTCTAAATTTTGGGAGCCCTCAGGACAGATGATCACCTTCCTTGGGCACTGCATCCACTGTCATTAAAGAGGATGATTTACCCTATTCCTGGAATTATTTGAGAAAACTGCATTTTAGAAATACTTGGAGTATGGGAAAAACCCATTTAATAATTTTACCTTATAAACAAATATAATTATTCTCACATAATATCTGTAAAAATTAGATAAAGATGTATGTAAAGAAGATATACTAATTTGAGATTATAGATAAACATATTAGTTTTTTGTGGGGATCATGTTTAAATGTATTAAATAAAGCCAATCAAATATGCTCCTGGGACAAAAGGAGTGTTGTTAGCTTTAAACCCATAGGCTTATGTTGTCCCATCAAAACACAGTTCAAGTACCACATGTGTTTTCAAATTTATAGTGGCCATTTAAAAAGGGATAACCAGGTAAATGCAATAATATGTCTTATTTAACAAATACATCTAAAACAGTGTTTTATTGTCATCAACATTAAACTTATTATGAGATACTTTACCTCCTTTTTGGGGGAGACTACCTTTGAAACTTTTGTGTACTTTATGTTATGCCCACCTTGATTTAGATAACCATGTACCCAGTGGTCAATACTCCCACATGGCTAGGGGAAACCGTGTTGGTCAACACAGCTGTGCACTTGTGTCAACTTGCCAGAGCTACCAATGAGTACTTTGTGATACACCAGACACTCCACCCCTTTTCATTTTTGAAGACTGATCTAGTAACCTGCTCTCTCTCTCATGGTTTCCTCAGTTGTTTGAAAAGATATTCAACCTTAACCTTACCTCATTCCCTTTTACAGGGAAAGATGGAAGCAGCATAGCAACCAGGAACAGGATCACTGAGAATAATGCCATTGCTGGGAAAACAAAACAGGGAATGAAGACCTGCATTAAAATGTTTGGTACATAGAGATGGAGGGATAAGGAGCTCCATTATCCAAATTCATTAGTAGTGTGACAAGAGAAGAGTGGCCAAAGGAACAGCATAATGATGGTGGGCTGGGCTGAAGAAGGACACTTTCATCAGGGGCAATAAAGAACAAATGGAGGTACTTGAGAGAAGTCTTGAAACACATTTATTGAAGCTAAGGACCTTTTCCTCCCAGTGCCACACTCCAATTGTGCAGCTGCTCTCTTTTGGTCAATAGTAAGAGAGCTGTTAAGGTGTGTATCTAGATGTTCCCCAAGAGCCTTATGCATGCATGGGCAGGGCTTCTGAAAGGTGACTGGTTTATGGGAGGACCACCACTGACCTGTCCTTAAGGAGTAGGGTCTGGTGAGAAGAGGAAGGTCTCTGGGATGTGGCCTGGAAGGTTCTTCTCCCTCCTCAGCCTCTCCCTTAGCTCCCTGCTTCCTGTCTGCCCTGTGTGTGCCATGTCATCCTGCCTTGGAGCCTGGAGGCTATGGGCTGATTCATTAGCTAAAACAAACGTTTCTTCTCTTAAGCTGTGGGTGTCAGGCATTTTGTCTCAGCAAAGAGAAAGTGACTAATACAAGCTCCCAAACATTGCATTACAGGAACTAGTGTGATTAGCCTGTGCTGTTACTTTAGCCCTGTGAACAGCACGTGAAGTTAGGACTTCTTTAAATTAGAAGTTAGAAAATAATATTTTCATATGATTATTTATTTTCATCCCCTATACCTCCCTTTCTCCCCATTCCTTCCAACATTTGGTCCCCTGGCATTTGCAGAACACCATCAGGTTTTTCTCTACAATTCTTTTTTTCCATTCCCTTTCCCTCCCCTCTTCCCCTAATTCCATCTCTTAGTCCTCCATCCATTTGAAAAAGATCTGTGCTCTTCCTATTTATTTACCTTTTATTTTTCTCTGTCTCTCTAATATATCTAGTATATATACTATACAATGTAATAGATACAGTAGATATACATACTGTATAGTGTATAGTATACAGTATGTATATATACATACATAGAGTATATATAGAGAGCTTCTCACATAATAGAAACCATGTGATATTTAAGCTTGTGTACTACAAACATGCACCAATAAATAAATAATTTTTAGATGACATTTATTTTGTCAGTGCTGTGCTTTATTCTTTGATCAACACAGAACCCTAGAACATTCTTCTAACAAGGATCTGCTGTTCTTTCATACTTTTAAACCACTATGTTCAACTTTGCCCATGTTTCCAGGGTGTGACTCATTCTCTGTCAAGACTTTAACACCATGCCTCAAACTCCCAAAATCAAACAAACAAACAAACAAACAAAACAAAAACAAAAACAAAAAAGAAAAAAATACATTTTCCCTCTGGATCTTAGAAGAGATTGTAATAATTTGATGCCTCCCATTTAAAGTGTTACTATCACCATCTTTATTAATATCTTTAATATACTGGCATAATTTTGTTAAGTAATTCAATTCTTGTACTCCTAAGAAAATAGTAAGTTATACTAAAAAAGTTTGAGAATATTACCACTATATATATGGGGTGGGGGTGGTACTACCCTGTGGCTTAAATTTAGAGCCTTCAGGCTGATCTACATCTCCATCTCCTCTTGTATTTTGAAACAAGATCTTACTAAGTCACTAAGTTACCTCTGGTGGATTCAAAATCACTGTCTTCCTGTGTGAACCTTCCAGAATGCTGATAAATTTTTCATTATATCATTGAACGTAAGGACAAATACATTAGAAACTTATAACATGTTCAACAATGGTGGGATAAAATGCCCAAGTAAAACAGAATGATTCCTCTTATTTAAGTATTTCAGACAAACTCTTTTAATACACTTATGATACTTTTTTTTAGCAGAGAGGAATAGTTAAGTTTTAAAAAAAAAGCAGAACATCGAATTGTACAAGATAGTTCTTTAGCCTACTGTTATACATTGGATGCGAATGTCTCTACCATCCTCAAATTCATATGGTGACACCCAAGCCCTGATTTTGTAAGTATTTGGAGATGAGTCCTCCGAGAAAGTACTGATTTTCAATGAAACCATAAGGGAGGGACCCTAATTCAACAGAATTCGTATCCTAATAAAGACACCAGAATGTGCTCCCTTACACACACAACCACACACACACACACACACACACACACACGCAGGCAGAGACCATGGAAGAAAGCCCTCATTGGGAGATAATGAGGGCATTTTGATCTTGAACATGTAGCTTTCACAACTGAGAAAATAGGATTTTCTTGTTCAAGCCATTCAGTCAATCATATGTTGTTATGTTGACTGGCAAAACTAATGCACATTCTTCTCTTTAGTACTTGAAGCCCAGGTTGTTTCTGAGTGAGTTCCAAGGTCTGGGAGCCTTGGCAGGTTGAATCCTGGAGCAGCAGGTCTGTGTTCAGGCAGGTGGGTCAGAGCCAGGCACCGTGAGAGCTGGTGCTGCTGGGACTGTCCAGTGCCCAGGCTCAGGGCAGCTGTGCTTTTCCCCTTTGCTATGTGACAACAGCTCTATGAGAAAGAGAG